GGGAGGAATGGGGCGCGGTGAAATAACCTTGCATTGAGTGGAAACACGCAGTCACGTTGGAATGAGAGGGAATTTACCCAACGCACAAAATGTGTCGGTGTGTGTATGTTTTGCTGGAAATCTATAGCTAATGTTTTCTTGGACCAGTGATTTCAAACATAAGAAGGTGTAGACTGCGGATGAACTTTAACACAACAAGGAGAAAGCCCGGCGTTAACCGGGCGATCCGACTGGTATTTAAGATTTCTTACGGCCAGGTTAAGGTTCAATGAGTTTATGAAATAGGTGCTTATATGGTAAAATACAAAAGGCGCTGCGTACCTATTCTTTATTGAACCATCTTATCAAACTCCGGGCAAGTCGAACATAATCAAGTAGGTCTGCAATCAAATAGGAACAATGTTCATATCTTTTCATTTCGCACAAGTTATGCGGGATTTTTTTTTCCTGTAATTATACAATTTCTCGGCCCTCTCCACAAATCATACCTACTTCTAAGCAAACAATGCCATTATCTTGTCAACAATAGGTGTTTGCTTGAATTTCTAATCGTCGTTCGTCGACGGAGCTCTCAACTCCGAGTTCCCCTACAATTGCGTGAGTCTCTAAACTCCTAGCATTGTCTTTTCGACAGCACCTGAACAGCTCATGCGTACTTCGTGGAGTCCAAGTCGCAGAGGCGTAAGTCAAGGAAGTCAAGGAAGAACAGCAGCATTGAATAGATGAGCGCAAAACCGAATGATTTTCGTTGATTTTCGTATGGTTTGCCCTTTTGGTGCTTTTAAATGCTCCTCATGCTTTTTCCTTCATTCTGTCAAGCTCTGCTACATTCGTCATATTGTTTCCCGCATAAGCAGCACTGAAAAGGTTTTGCAAGGAAATACGTATGTCCCAGACAATACGTCGACGATGACGTTTTTGTTGAACTTACTAGTATCGTGTACGTCTACCGTCTAGTAAGGAATACACTTCGCTTTCCATGTTTATTCTTTCAATCGTATTCAAAATATGATCGGCAGATTTGCAGGCAAGGCTGATCACGACTGACCTACCCCATCTGTACTAGTTTGAAAAGCTTGACTACATATGAAAGGCTGATGATGTACAATATGATCTACGCTCAGAGTCTTGTTTTTAACATTCGATTGAAAATCTGTTCTCTCGAATGCGAAGCTTTTGCTTTGTTCCCAGTCGGCGTTTAAACGATCGGCTTCCCGTCGTCCACTGAGGTAGGCACCGATAGCTGTTTGAAACAATCTAGAAGACATACTTGATGTATAATCAGTGATTTTGCTGTAAAAGCCTTGTGTTACCTGTGATGGGTTGCTTCCCCTGCAAATAGCACCTTCGGGTGTTTGTGGTGTTTGATGGGTATTGCGAGGCGAGAATGTGAAATTCGGGCTTTAGCTTGAGCCTGACTCATATACGAATACGATCCCAATAAAAGCTCATTCTTCGTCAGGCGCGTCCTTAAAGGAATTTTATAGCTTCATCAAATATGTTTTACAAGCTTTTTGAAGAGAAGTATCATAAGCTTGTGATCACGGCAAATTCCTGAAAGTCTACCCAATCTATCTATAAATGTCTTGATTTATTACTCTTTGAAGGCACAATATACGGAAGCAGTGATTCCGAAATTTCTCTCTAGTATTAACATGTGACTCCAAGGATAACGCATGGACACTAAAGAGTCGAAAAACGACCTAGGGAGGGAGCAATGAGTGCTCCGAAACCGGCTTACCCGACGTATCCGACGGCGATGCATAAGTTCTTACTGCATTGTAGAGGCTGTAGAGGTTGCACGATTCGCAACGGAACAAACACGTTTCACGCAAGCAGCCACTGTAGCCAGCCGTACGCAATGGCACACACTTTTAGACGAGTGTGGTACAGTAGGATCGAAATTGTCGCATCGCGGCGAGAGAGACGCCACGCGCGAGGGAATGTGGCATAATGCAGCAGCAGGTAAGAAAGACAGGAACAAAAGGACTAACATTAGAACCATTCCTTAAATAGTTATCGCATATCTATTGAGCTGTATGAAAAACGCTAGAGCTGCGATAACGGCGAAGCGAATGATCCGCGACTGAAGCATGCGGCGAATCGATTACACAAAAGCGATCCTACCGCCCGTCTCCCATTTCGACAACTCGTACGGTTACCATTTTCAAGCAAGTTTCTTTTGTCCTCGTATCTAAACTTTATTTTTCTGCTTTTTTAGGCCTTATTTCTCTAATTGAACTGATTTTCGCGTTTTTTCACCTATTTTGCACTATTTTGGACTATCCCTTCCATCATTCGTTTGATAGTAGATACCCAAAAATTATCTTGAGATGGGCCTTCCAGTCAAGCAGTGGTTTTGGTGATCTTAGAAACGAATTGGGTGTGCTCATATAGGAAAAGAGTGGTGTTAGCTATCTTTTACTACTTTTTGAAACATTTTTCGAGGCAGCCTTTTGTGGTGACCATATAATTGGCTTAATCTTTGTGAGTGATATCAGATTCGCTAGCCGCAATGCTGCTTTTGTCCAAACTAGTTCGTACAGTAGTTTGTAAACTTCAAAATCAGACATTCTTCGGTGAGCGCCCCAAGGAACGATTGAATTGGGAATGTGAGCCTCAAGCGGTAAAATTCTTTTTTCGCAGGAAAATTGAACTCCTGTTTTGAAACAACCTTGAAATTACATGGTATTACCTTACAAGCTCGCTAGGAGCTTGAATAGAAGGGTCATTCCTCAAGTCACGGACGAGTCTTGTAATTCTGGCGAGTATCTCTTCGTCACTCATATTATCCATTACTTGTTGGCCAGCTCCGGCTACCCAGGTAGTCAAGGTGTTCGGTTCCCAGTCCAACACCTGAATGTAATCATCAGCGTTCAGTAAAGTTCACCACATGTTTCGGTTGTTCGTCTATTGTGACCATGCGCTGATCTTGTGTAGTGACGAAGATAAACTCAGTTTTTTATCTGTTACGAGTGGAAGGGATGGGATCGTGACTTATAGGAACCCATAGCAGCTGATAAGGGCTGCCACCCNATTTATTGCGGAAGTGGTGCCTTGCTGGTTTAATGCGCAATGTAAGCTGTTATTGGATCACAGATAGCGGCTGATAAGAAGTGTTATTATTAGAAGGGAAGAACCACTTGGTTACTATAACTATGTAGCCTTGACACCTCAGCATGTTTTATTCGATAAGACTGGCCGATATAGCAGCAGTATGACAAAGAATGAGGAATAAGAGCCTTCGCAATTGCTGATCGTAGTCCTTCCTAGACCTCGAATCTTGAGCAACACTTTCAATCCATAGAAAAAAGAAATGACTCCACGTAATGTTGTGATCATCAGTCGACGTTACATCATCAAGTAAACTTCAAGGCTTTGGCTAATTAGCTAGATTGCTCAACTATGGAAAGTCGCTGCGTCAGTGGACTCGGTAAAGGGAAGTATTGAACACTGAGAGGTGATCGTTGTTAACATTAAGAGCAGCCAGTGCAAACTTCGTAATCGCAAGCATAAGCGCCATCATTAATCGAATACCAGTTGCAATTCCCTGCTTATTCGAGTACTGCTCATTCAAAATTTAGTGCCCCATAATTTCTGGTGTTTCCTCGAAGAATTTCGCGGTCAGAAACAAACACTAATGCTAAAAAGATGACTGAAAGGTCAACCAACTTCGTCAGAGGATGGGTGGGGGCCCGGCGTATGTCGGGCGGTCTTACGGTCTCAAAATATATTAGTTGTACGCTGTAGGTGGGCTTTCTGAGTTATTGTGGACGTCCGTCACTTTGTCCCGCAAAGGTTCACTTCGATGTACTTTTAAGTTGATGCATAATATTGCGAATTCTTTTCAGCAAATTTTTTTCAAAAGAAAGATAGAAATATTTAACAAATACATGTTCAATTAATTACTCCGGGACGTATTCACCATGTTCTTCAAGCAATGCTTCCCATCTGCTGGGCAGCCGGATTCCACAAGCGAAGAAATTCCGGTCCGTGGAGGCGATCCTCACCTTGACATCGGCCAAAAAGCCATCCATTTCGTCGTAAGGCCTCTTTGCTAGCTAATCTTTCAGTGAACGGGTAACGTGATAACTTATAGGGTTTCTGTGGGTCAAAATGGAGATTTAGGAGCAAATCCAATTCCTCAGTTGGCTTTGGCTGACAATTCCATCGCCAAAAAGTTCGTTGAGATCGCGTAATGAGTGCGCCACATTCCATCATTTCTCGAAGTTATAGAGCATAATGTGGCGAGTAAGGAGATGACTTTCAAGACATATTTCTATTAACGAAAACGAGTAGATTATTTCTATAAAAATCCCGACTTCGATATTGAAATTGTATGGAGAGAAAAGAAGCCGCGGAAAAATCCGTAATAGTTATGCATCAACCTATTAGTTTAAAAAGAGCATGCGAAATATAGTTCCGATAACAAAGCTCACTTGAAGAGTCGTCAACTCTCTCTCAAACGGGTCAATGGCGTCACGGGCCATCCCCTCCACCGGAAGTGGGATCATCGGGCGTGTTTCGTTCGACCACCACGGCTCTTCCCAGCGAAAGAACATTTTGCACGAACCACCAAACCCTGGAAATAGCATTTTCTGCAAACACAAAAGAAAACAGTATGTGGTAAACTGACCAATCTTCTCGATCGCTTCTATTTTTTGTCGTGGAAGTGGAGGTGTAAACATTTGGCGATGGTACTTTTTTAGATGTCCCAGCGAAGAGGTAACAATCACATAGTCGTAAACCTTCGAGACTGCTCCTTTGGATGTCGTCAAGGTGACTCCAGCCGCCGAGTGGTTAATATGCAGGATAGTAGTATTGAAGTGGAACACGTCGTCCGGTATCGATGCTTTCAAATGATCAAGTATTGCTTTGTAGCCGATTTTGTTTGTGTGAAACGACTCGCCCTCCGTTCCTCTATCGTTCCATTCCGTCAGTACACGGGGGCTGAGCTGAAAACGTTCTCGTTGTTTAGCTAGTTCTCTAAACGAAGAGCTAAAGTAAGACATCATCCCAGTCAGCTGCCCATTCGAACTCCCAATACGACCTGTAGGAGCGAGTGAGGGCGTCGAAAACATTTCGTCGAAGTCCTGTGATATTGTTTTCCTGGAAAAGAAAATGCTTTGACTAGGAACCTCCCCACTCTAAATGAAGTCGAATGATACTCACCTTGAGAAATAAGTTGTAATCCTCCATGAATATACTCTTCATTGTATAGACACGGGATAGTAAATCGTGCTGTTTTGCCAGATGGCGATACTTCGGGTCCAACGGGGCTATGAACTTCGTGAAGAGTTCAATATCTTGCCTGAATGGAAATTTGGAACGATTTGGCATGGTTGCTTTGCATCTCATCTTTATTAGCATTAGCTTTGCATGCTGCTGTAGGTATCGTAGTAGTTCGAAAAAATAATCATATATGACACCCTTTCCCTCTGTTTGCTTCTTTTCCGGATAAATCTTTCCATAGCCTATGCGGAAGGAAACTCGCCATCTCTGCTCGTACTGGATCTTTAGTAAAGCTTCATCTTGATAAATCCCAAGTTTAAGATGCATGGAAGGCAGCTTGCGCCTCAGGCAGCAGGCTCAAATTTGCGCTACCTTCGCTAATTTTCGACCATNCTGCTCGTACTGGATCTTTAGTAAAGCTTCATCCTGATAAATCCTAAGTTTATGATGCATGGAAGGCAGCTTGCGCCTCAGGCAGCAGGCTCAAATTTGCGCTACCTTCGCTAATTTTCGACCATGTTATGATGACGGCTACGTTGAAGCAAACTGGAGTAGTACCTGTCTACTGGCTGGCTTCCGATCAGATATTCGGCATTCTGTAATTGTGCTGTGTCAGACACGATGTCAGCAACTACTCCCAGTTCCTCTGCCAGTTTGTAGATTGGATTTTCCGCTCCATTTATGTACTCCGCGCCCATTTGTAGAAATCCACCATCTTAACATGGAATATTAGCCTAAAAAGAACGCCTGTGATGAATCGCACGAATAGGCGTACGATAGGGCACTGGATGAATTCGTCCGCCAACGCGATCCATTCCTTCGTAAATATCAATATCGCTTATTCCAATTTCAAGTAATCGTCGAGCTGCAGACAAGCCGCTCATGCCCGCGCCGACGATTGCTATAGAAGGTTCTGTTTTGTTCGATTCTTTCTGAAATAGAAAGAATCACTATCATTGGCAGCACAAATGAGCGTTTAGCAATCTCTGGCAGAAAAATAAAAAAATTTCTTTGCTCATTTCCGACCTCGAAGAGCTTGCTTAAATTTGGGGTGGCTGTTATAGTTCGTGCAGAATGAAAAGGTTAAATAATACAAGGTAATCATTGCTCACCTGCACTGAGATTCCGCATGCTATTACTACAATTAGTAATGTTATGGATCTCATTTGAGAATCGTTGGATACGNCCTGGCTGTACAAGTCGCGATTGCCTAAATACCAAGCGATAAGGTACGCCCAGCAACGATCAGGTGATCGCTTTGTTTTCCCGCCTATAGCCTCCTACTACGTTGGCAAATTATTTTTACGGCACAAAAGGGGGAGACGATGAGCAAAAGCGGAATTGTTCAGGGTTGGCTTATCATAGATTTTCAAGCGAGTCGATTCTTGCTTCCAGTGGTGAATACGTACCGTGATTCGGCCCACGGACAATGAGAAACGATGTAGGTGAAAACAACATACACCCCTTGCTTCTTACATTAGCCTTTTTGAAAAAAGCTGACCAGCTGTCAGAAGCGGCAACTTGCAAGGGTATGGAAAATCACAGGGGGATTAGGGAGTAGAAAACTTGATACTTCTTGGGAAGGCATACTCGTATCTATCTCCCTGGTTTGCCTAGGCCCTTCTCTATGTAGGTCGTTCTTAGACGTCAACCTTCTAGATTTTGTGCCTTTAAAGTCTAGATTTGTGGTAAATTTAATTTTGTGATGATGTGAACCAAGTAGTAGATAGCCATTTCTATAGCAATACCAAACAAATTGCAAGTACAGTGGATGGCGTGAACAGCTATGATAGTGTCGGGAAATTGCGTTTAGGCACATCGATTCCTCTTTTACCATGAACGCCAAATATTTTGCGACCACAGTCATGGCGTCTGCTTGCTGTTGTTTGCACCTTGATCAGTTATCAGTACTTTACATAATCCTTTGGAATGGTGCTTTTGCAGTACAGCAAGCAGGAAACTTTCAATAGTCTGGGCTTCAGTGGTACAAGGCTACATAAATGTTGTGATTGTAAAACTGTACGTTTCTATAATAACTCTGAGGCAGACGTTCCTCAGATGGACAGCATTTTATTTTAGTGAGCGCGGTAATTGAGCGGCCTTCGGGAGTAGCTTATCAATTCCCGACCACGATACGTCATGTGGGGCCCCATGCATACTCGAAAATTTTCAACATCTATGCTGTCTGACAAAGCTCATGAAGAACTGCTCCCAGCCGTTATCTTCTCCATCGTTGTTTGCAATCAGGCCTAGTAGCCCTCAGCAATGACAGAAAGACATGGCAACTTATTGTCAGTGCATAATGGTGTCTTCGCATGAGAGAGAGGGGAGGGGTGAACGCTGAAGAATTTCTTGGTTCATCACAGTTTTTACTCATCTCACTGAACCATAATGAGGCAAAATTCCAGAGAGCATCTTTCACTAGCTTATTTATGGTCATGGGCACGCGTATTGCTTTCTACGTTTTTTCAAAGTTTATATCTACTCGGGGTGCTCAAATTCTTTTCGATATAGCTTTTGCTAAACTTATTCTCAAGAAAGTAGTTTAGGGACTGTTTTAATGATCCACCTCATAATTGTTGTGGATTCCGCTCACCACGATGACTAGAGAAAATTGCTCTTCCTATATCGTTATATGATTGTTCGCTTTTATTAATCGTTTCAACATCTTGCTTGCAATAAGTCGTCCTTCACAATTGTGTCGCCGAAATACTTCTTTTTTTTTTCATGGAATGTTCAGATTTTCTCGGTTTAATTAGTAAATCAATTACGGCACGCTTAGGCATTCATGCCAAAAAAACTGATAATTTCGATCTGTAGTGAGTAAACTTAGGACGAATCTGGTCCTCTAATCGTTGTCAAGTCATTCAGTGCAACTCACGGTCGGTGTCTGGTTCAACTCAGAGCATTTTTACTCATGCACGCATGCTGGATTGAATATCAAATCTTTCTTACAAATTTCACCCTTACTGGCGGAAATCTGGCCATTTAAGAAATCTCCTTTTCTTCACGTCTGCTGTTTTTCATTACCATATCTACTACCTTTCCAGTGGTTGGTTACATTCGAAACCCTGCGATGACTACGCCTCCTCTAATTAGAGAAGAACATTTAAGAAGTCATTAGGCCAAGTTATCTAGAAACCTTTTCATGTATTCCGATGTTTACCTCCGCTCGCAATGCTGCGTTTTCTGCTCACAATGTACACTCGAGCACAGCGTTGGAGGAGCGGTGCACCAGTAAAATGGAAATGGAATATGGGGGGGGGGGACTCTACCGAATTGCTCTGCTT